AATGCCGTTGGCAACAATCATCCGCCCCCAGCCATCGTGAACCTTTGCAAATTCTTCAAATTTCTAATTACACACTTCTTTCCTGTGGTGCAGAACGTTTTCGGTAAATAAATAGGTAGCCTACCTGTAGGGGCAGAAATAGCTATATCACGGGGTCGCACAGGGGGTACATGAGTTATGTCGTGGAGAAGATAAGGTAGAACTGATTTCTAGAAAGATCTTGTAATACTGATTTCTAGAAAATCTTGTAATATATGAAAAGAAATTAAACACATAAGAAAAATTCAGGCTGAAAGCGCAACTCACTTGCACAGGGAACCATGACCGTATTCGTTTCCTAACTAGATTTAATAACGCATCAGGTATACCGAATACTGAGGATAAATCAGCTAGATTCCTCTCGTGCAGCTCCGCGGGAAATAAAGTTGCATTCGACACCCAGGAGGTCGTAACGCTGAAAGCAAATGTTACCTGAAGACTAGTAATTGAGCTTCTGAAGCAATAACTTCTCATGCTTGCACAAACGAAAACGACTACACACTTTTTACTCGTCTTCGAAACGTAGTATTCACCCCATCAACCTCGGGGTTTCCCTACTTCTGCGTGTGGTGGGCTGTGTTCATACTTTGCAGCGTCCACCAGCGACGCTAGCGACTAGGAAAGTATGGATTTCTATCCAGCAAGTGCCAGCGTCCACCAGCGTCCAGGAAAGGAGTGTAGAGGGTAGCAGACTGTTCGTAGAGTACGGAGAGGTAGAAGGAGCAGGCTGCCGGATCAGGCGCTCGCGAAATCTTGGCTTGTGCAACCGCACCGTACTACTGCATAAATTGCATGAACCTGTGCTGTGGAAATTGTACGGTGCGGTAACTCATGCCGCAACGTCACGACACTGCCCGCTTCTTCCTACTTCCCCATCTCTAACAGCAGTCTTTCCATAGGATTCTTCCGCGAAGCGGCTTTTATTCAGTCCGACGCGAATCGCCCACCGCATGTATACTGCACACAGTTGACCCCATTACATGCCCCGCACCCAGATAACCACGCCCCTTTTGCCAGAAACATTCAAACTTACATTACACACATTATACGCTGTATACTGCATATACTAATCTTTCACACTTTTCATCCACTACACATATACATCCTTGAATAAACTTCTACTTAATAAATACTACACTTGACTCAGCCCCGACTATCCTCCT